CGGGGGTCCGGTGTGCTGTGCCGCCTTCCTGCCTGGCGGGCTGCCGGTGTTCCCGCTGGCGGTAAGGCAGAGTAGGAGGGGAGCGCGGAGCTTGGAGCTGCTGTGAGAGGCTGCAGGAGTGGCAGCGACGGGCTCTGCCGTCGTCGTCGGAGTTTGTCAGGGGTCGCGTTGCTTAACGAGTCCGTGTGCTTCCAGGGAGTTGAGTTTGGGGGGGTGTGAGGGCGGGCTGATTTCACGCAAGGCGATTGGGTTCGCGAATAACACGGCTGCTTGTAGATCCAACGAAGGAAGCACAGGACCGTTCATATGTTTGTTTAAATTTTTACGTTGTCCGACCGGCCCTAGTTTTAGTGTTTTAGTGGAGTGTCAGCCTGCACTGGTGTCCTGTTATTTCTGCACTGTCATCACTCTCGTTCAACTTCAAGAACCAGCTCAAACTACTCTTGACAATAACCTCTTACTTAGCCAGAGTATTCTGTGTTTCAGCAATTCCTTGAGTAAAATATTACTTATTCTGCATGGACTGCAAATGGTGGGTGATGCTGGATATTTGGATATTCATTCTGACTCATTTTTAGGAGGGAAAGAAAAGTTACCGATAAGGACTTTATTTATGAAGTGGTATGTAGTAATGGCTATAAAGTATTCGTATATAGTGCTGGCTCTGAAAGAGATTTTAGAGCATAGTGGTCAAAAATGGACTTCCAGTACAGTACACTTAAGGAAAAGAAGGGAATGGCTTGTAACCCTTGAACATATAACTGACAGGTTGAAAATAAAGAGTTGATTTTTATATATAAATTTTTAAATTGTAATTTTAGTTTTTAGTGAGACTAGTAGTAAATTTCTTCATTTTCTCATGCATAACTTCCAGAAAGGATGCTTAAGAAGGCAGGGAACAGAACCTGAATAGTGTTCCAGAGTTAGAGAAAAAATACCTTCAAGTGTGGTGGTGTGGGGATTGTTTTTGTTGCCTTTGGTTTGGTTTGGGTTTTTTTGGAGAGGATTAGCTTGAACTGACTTATAAAAATAAACTTAAAAATGTAGGTGGCTTGCTGATAGGTCAGAAACTGTCTTGGGAGGGGGTAGGAAAGCTTTCTTCTAAGGTTTCTTAAATAAATGATAAGGTATGCTTAGTGATTAAGGCACCTGTTTGGGTTGTTCTACTGCAAAAAGGTGCTTATTTACTATCTCTCAATGTCATCAGAGAGAGAGAGAAGGCACAGTTTTAGAAGAAATGCTTTAGTTCTAATTAAGGCATTTGGCTGCCTTTTTTCACCAATTGATGAAATCAGTCATCTTTCACAAGCACAATCATGAGGCATTGCTATCTTGCAAAAATTTCATGAGGCTACTAATCTAAACATTTTCTTTTTTACTGCGCTTACATTTTTGGGTTGTAGCAGCAAATCATAAATTTATGCTAAGGTTATTTAGCAGGCTATGGAGAGACCTGATGAATTTTTTTCACGTTTCTAGACTTAGTTATGGTTGTTCATAGCGTACATGACAACTTAAGCTAGCTGCAGTCGCAGCTATAGAAAGATATTCTTTGCTTACAAGGAACATGCTTATATGTTATTTGAGCTGCTTAGATGTTACTGTCATCCTTTTTTGCCATGTAGAAGTCTAGTGGAAACCACTTTAGCAAGATGCAAACAAATTGCATTGTCCTGTCATTGTGAGTAGCCTTTTTTATAAGACTGTACCTGGTATAGTTAATCTTCAATAGATTATTGTGCAAATCAGTAATGTGAGGCAAGCAGTAGGTATAGAGAGAACTACAGACTGTTGTGGAAAATCTGGATTTAGAGAAAATCCTATTATTCAGAGATGCATTCTCTAAGCTTATGAACCTGGATGTCTTCAATTTGATGTACAAAAAGAAAAGCCTTTCCTGGTTAAATATGCGCTATGGTCTCTTGTTTTCAGTACAACCTTTGTCAGGGTTTCATGCCCCATTGTCTTGGCCATCTGTAGTAATTGATTTTCACTTGAACCATTCAGAACCTGGTTTCTGCAGCCACCTGTCATCTTGGATTTTGCAGAAGTGGCCTACCTCTTAGATTACCCATCACAGTGTATTAATTACAGTACCTAAGATTACTTAAACACGTAAAGTCTTTCTTCCAAGGATTTGATTCAGAATCTTTAGATTCTTCATCTCCTGTAAACAGCAAAACATAATCCAAGCAGTTCCTTTTTTTCCTCTGAATGATAACAGATATCATAGATGTCCTTTCAAGAGAAAAAAAAATCCTTCCCTGACATCTCACCAGTTTGTGAACGTACCGTCTTGATACAATAGCACATCAATAGATTGTCTGTATGGTTTAATTTTGAAATATCAGATGCCTTTAACTGATGAGCACAGATATTTCAAGGGAATAATTGATGATGCTTGTTTTATCGTCCTGGACTTTGGTTCTTCTCCTTTGCTGCATATATGTAAATCAAAATCTGATGGTAATAGATTTGTTTTTTCCCTTGTGGTTTTACTTTTTGGAGTTCCATTATGAGCTGTAACCTGATACTAAGTTGACATATTTTTCTTAATCATACAATAAGATTATTTACAGTGACTACTATGCAGCACAATTTTGTGCTTATAAAACAGTCGTTCTTACGAGGTGCAGCTAATGGATAAAGATACTGCCCTCTTACAGCTTGAAGCATTAGACCTGATCTGTGACCTATAATTTCCTGGGTTTGAGTCCATTGTGGTTTTTTTTTCCTAAAAATCACATGGGTTTTAAACACCTAGTTTTAAACTTTAAAGTGAGAGAGAATGTGTATTTGAGCTCGTGTGTAGGCTGATGCCTGTTACACCCATCCCAGACATACTTGTCCCTACCTCCAGATGAGGATGTGGGGGAGGTGGGGCAGGGAGAATCCTGAGGGATGAGCCGGCAGATGAGATTATCAAAACTGATAGCCACAGCCCTCTGTTTGAAAGAACTATGAAAAATCTAACCTTAACAAGGTGTGTCATATTTCCTGTATGGGGAATTTGTCTGGGATGCGCTTCAGTAGCTCACTTTGGGAAGTATTTAGATGTATGTTCAACAGATTAATATTGAATTGGGCTCATAATACAAAACACATTTTATAGTTCATAGGCACATTTCATATTCCTCTGATCACGCTCCATCTGATAAGTATGTAACTCAGCAAAAATGGAGGAGGAGGTATATTTTTTTTACAACGTCAGTGAGTTAAACCAGCTTGTGGAAAGCTCTAGTGTTGTCCCAACTGACAAAAGGGAGGAGGGCTGATTGCATGCCTAGAAGCAAGACCAAGCAGAAGAGCCAATAATTAAATTAGCTCGTACACCAGTAAATGTATGTCTTTGAAGAAAAAAGTTTAGTTCACATTCTTTCTTGCTTTGCAAGATTGCCAAATCAGAGTCTTTAGAAAATGAAGCCATAAGAAATGCTTATCTCGGATGAGAACAGACCTATAAGCAAAACCAAAAATTAATAATAGAGCTGTTTCTGCCTAAACTCAACAAGTGAGGCATATAAAAATTAACCATGTTGATACATTAAGAAGTTCTGAAAGAGGTTAACTGAATGAGTTTATTAGAAATGAGAATAGGAAACGGAAATAGTTCATAGGTTGTGTTTTACAAATATCAGTTGCATACATAGCGACTTTACTGTAATTTCTACACCAACATGGTTCTTTGTTATTTAACTACATAAATCATAAGATTTCCTTATTGCTTGCTGCTAAAAAGAATTGAAAGGCTTCAAGAAAGGTAGCATGTTTGCCTTCAAATTATCTTCAGGTGCTAATGCTGAACAAGGCCATGCAGCCTTATCTCTTGGTATCAGATATGTTTCCAGTTGCAACAGAAGAAAGATTAACCTTGGCACACCCTGTGGCAAAACTAGCGTTGAATGGAATGAGATAGTGATGGTGATTCTCTGAATTTAGTATGTTTCACAATGTGATATGCATCTTTGCATTTAAGACTCTTCTTTGCATTTGAGAATCATTTTAGCAAATGAATGAGTGTTAGTGGTCATACCTACTGTTCACAATAGGATTTCTTTTCCGGCGTATTTAAATCTTGCTTTAGA